CCCCCACATAGTCGCTTTTGTTGAAGTAAAAGCTCGATGCGCCATATAGTCGGCACACCGGTACAAGCACCGTGTGCATAAGACCTGCCCCTATAATAGAGACTTTGCGGTAAGCCACCGGTAGCCACCCGGTGGCTCCACTGCTAGCACTTTAAAGTCGAAAAAGACCAGTCACTCGGCGAATTGATCCAGAAGGACGTGAGGAAGAGAGGCGCGCTCGATCCGAACGCTTCGAACGTGCACCGGGCCACGTGGTTTGGAAGTCCCAAGTTGAGAGCAAGTTTTGTAAGCGCAAAATATAATATTCGAGCCAACAATGCGGCACGATGATCTCGAGTGTGGATCGAACATGAAAATGACAGGCATCGACGCTGACTTGGATAACCCAACAATCGCTTGCGAGACTTTCATGAATTTGATTCCAGAGCTATTCCGGGAGGCAGACTCCAGGTGCCTAAGTAGTTGCTCACTGCCGAATAATCTAATCTTGCGGGTTTTATTTTTGCCCTCAAAAAGAAGAAAAAACCTCGCTGAACAGGGATCTACAGCGCAGAAATTTACAAGACCCGATGGCGAACGATATCGCGCCTACTCTACGTGATTCATCTTGTCCTCCGGAAAGCGAGAGGTCCCGGTTCGACTCCTCGTAAGATGTCGGGTCCTTTTTACTCTCTGTTGTTTTGTTTGTTGACGTGGTCACTTACCTCTGCTGAGCGAAGCCTCGTCCGGGTTCATCTATTTAGCCTATAGCCTCCATCCAAGCAATGGTATTTTTTTCTGCAAGATGTGTACGTACATCCGTCGCTTTCTCGTTCAGGACTAGACTTGGACTACATACAGGATCAACAAGACCCGGTGACAGATGGTTTCGCGTCCTCGCGGATATTGCAACCTTGAAGCGGGAAAAAAGTCTTGGTTCGATTCCAGGCTTGGGTGTGGCTATGGCGGCGAGGATGTGGAAACCTTTTTTTTTTTTTCAGTCTCTGGTCCAGGACCGGTGGGTTGTGTGAATCGACTTTCCGATAGCCGATGGTTTCTGTTCTTCGAAACGTTCAACAATTAGGCGCTTGACCTAAGACTTTAGGAGGAGTGTGGAATCGTTAATAGGATGAGGTGCAGGTATATTGTTTAGGCAAAACCCGACGGGCAAACGGTTTTTTAATGGAGAGGTCCCAAGCTGGATATACCTCGCACTTCTCTAAAACTGCTCAGCATTTTTGATCTTCTTCTGCAGGATGGAAAGGTATGTAGGTGATGTACTGACTGGAAGGGGGTCTTTGTGGGCATACAAAGACCCCCAACGACAATCGGGAATATTGGATTCCACTGGCTTTCGCACTGAATATAGTAACGGGCTTCCTGCAGGACGAGGTGATATTACTCAGCTGATATAGGTCTCTTACTGAATTCCCAAGGATTTGAACACCGGAGCGAGCACTAGTAAAAACACAATTTATTTTAACATCCACTCCGAGTCCTCCGATCCTCTTATTATTTGATGCGGGTGAAGATCCAGCGCTGCGCGTCATTCCCGTCGGCTCCTTTGAGCTCCTAAAAAACCGTGAGCAAGGGGAGTGCATCCCGAAGAACAGATACATACGACCGATGAATAATACGTGCCCGGATCGATCACAGTCCACAGGCGGTTCGCGCCGGGGACCTGGACCTGCATCCATCGTCACATTAGACAACCGGAAACGATGAGATGAAAGTCATAGCTCGCACAGTGAATGTATTGCCCGCTGCAGGGGAGATCGAGAACACCGCCGGCGGGAGGGCCAAATAAAGTTGTCCCTGGACGGCAGAAATTTATTTACTGTCGACCGATAGATGGAAACCGACGTCGTACCTCATGGGCACCGATCCCATATTCGGGGAACCGGCCGTCACTGATAATGCGGTAGTTGTTCGCGCCGGCAGGCGAGACCCGCCACTAACCATTCCCATTGTGAGTAATATAGTTTGTTGTGGAAAGGCACAGGAAACATACATATGTGTTTGCCGACCAAGATTCCTCAGTGAAAACTGGAGAATCCGGTAGATCGACCGTCAGCACAAAAGACCGCGCGGCCGCACTGGCAATCCGGTAGACGCCTGGCTGAATCGTGCCGCTTCCCAGCTGACAAAATAATTAGAGGCCGAGCAGAGCGTCGCGGCGGCGCGTACCGTGGTAGAGCCCACTTGGCTGATGGCGCAGGAAATCGTAAGTTCCTGGGAAACCATAGGTTGCTGGGAAGGCGCAGCGGCGGAGAGAGTGAAGGCGCAGAGCCCGAGAGCAATGAGTTTGGAGAACATTGATGAAGACTGAATTGCTGAAGAGGCGAAGAAGTTAAAGTGTGCATGCGAATCCTTTTAACGTATTCCAACGAGCGACGGGCAAGGAGGATTACGGACTTGGAGGAACGTTTGCACAACTCCATCCAGTTGACGTGAATGTTGGGTCCCGAGCTGGCGTACTGCGGCCACTGTGAATCCGAGGAATTGCAGGAATCATGGTTCCAAGAATTCAGTGACCGCACCGGAGATGCGTGCCCGTCGTCTTATCCATGATCAGGGAACAAAACAGTAAATAATTTGTGAAACTGAGCGCAATGGCGCAAGTTGGGTTTGGAACGATAGGGAGTAGATGGGAAACCGTTGCAAATTAGCCGTCATATTGAACTGGCGTTGGGGAATACCTGAACAATATGTCAGGGTGGTATAAACGACAGCTGTTCGGCACGATCTCGCGTCACGACGAGTGTTCAGGAATACTCGTTGCACACTTCCGTCCACTGGATTGGAGTTGCGTCCGTCTTGCGTCCGTCTCCTTAATCCGGAGAAGTTGGCCACCGAACAACCCCCCGACTTGATGAATGAACGGCGGGGTAAGGAAGGAGGTTGGTGCTTGGATGAATTTTAACTCCTTCCGGCGTGTTAATCTTAGCCCTTTCTAGCCCCCGAGGAGAGAACCACCTCCAGATCCAAGTAGCGCCAATCGTAACGTACGGGACTCATAGTCCGTCGATATATATACAGTGAAATAGGGTAGCGGTCGAAGCTCAGTGCGACTCGGCGCAGAGTGGTTGCGGTCCTAGTGAAGGACTAATGCTGAGACTCATGGAGCCTCTAAGAAGTAGATGGCGAGGCTGAAGTGCGCGAGCCGCAGAGAGCCCGAGATTTCGATGGCTTGCTTCAAAGGCAATAAGGAAAGCAAGGTCCGAGCGGGAGCGAGAAGAAATAGCGGTCGAATGAGAGGCTCATCTCAGACCCATAGTGATATTCGATTGATGGACACATCGTGCAGAGGATAGCGGCCGTTGAAGACGCTGAGGTGTGCTTCTGAGAGCGCGGAAATGGAATTTAGAAGCACTGGAGGATACCAATGGTAATCCACCGGCGGTACCTACTGCAGGAGAGGCGAGCAGACGCAGAAGGTTGCGAGCGAATATGATGCAAGAGGAGGTACCCATCGTAACCCGGGATACGCATCTGTCGCATGGAAAATGCGATGTTTGAAGATCGTGGCAATGCAGGGGGCACACGCGAAAAGTGGGAAGTGCATACGGGACGAGCGGGCAGCGTGGATGATCGGTGAAAATGACACGAGGGACGAAGGCATGCCGCGGAGAAGATGCTAGTATGTGGCGGGAACGTGGGCGGCATTGGAGGGGCTGGGAGCACAGAGAGCGGCGAGCAAATAGGGTGGATGGGCGGATGTGGCGTGCTTGTGCGGCGAACTTGATTGAATGCAGCCCAAGATGCCAGAGCAAAGAGACGATGATGCGGCGGGTTGCGGCGGGGCGGGGCGGTGTGAATGGCGGGAAATGCGGCAGACGCGCGACGCAGTAGCAGAATGAGCAGAATGGGCAGCTGATGACCATCAGCAAATTGACATTTTGATTGCCGCGTTTTGGCGTTTTCGAGGATGAGCTCGACATTGAGCTTGAAATCTCCTCTCAGTGGCGGACGGATATTAAAACTCAATCTGCCGCCGCTATATGGTCAAGTAATTTCTGATCTCCACTTTGGGTGGGCAACCTGAGCAGCTGCCGCGATGCCAATGAATGACCAATAATGTTGCAAGGTAAGGTGTGTTCATGACATTCATTCTTGATAAAGATTATTTACAGAGAACCGGTAGCGAATGGTATCGCGCCCGAAAGGTATGTTTTCTTGAACCGCGATCTCCTGGTTCAACTCCTGGTTCGACTCCAGGCCAGGTTCATAATTTCTTCGTTCTTTCTTTGGACTGGGTGCGTTAATTTTTTTTTTTTTTTAAATCGTTCATCATCGTTGGATGTTTTTGGCAGACTCCACATATGCAAATCGTTCCCTGCCGAATAATCTAATCTTGCAGGGTATGTTTTTGCCTTTGAAAAAACCTCGCTAAAACAGGGTGTACAGAGCAGAAATTTACAAGACCCGATAGCGAACGGTTTCGCGCCCGCGCTACGTGAAAGAACCATATTCTGCCCATAAAGCGGGAGGTCCTGACTCCTGGATAGACTCCAGGCCGGGTCGTAAGACATCCGTGTCCCAATTGGCCTTTTTACGTTGACGTGTTTACCTCTGCTGAGCGAGGGTTCATGTACCCTTCCTTACGCCGCCCTTGACTAAACGACCTTATCTCAGACGACAGACCTGTTTTTTGCAAGGTGTCGCTTTCTCAAGTAATTAAGGCAAGACTACCTGCATTCAGGGTCGACAAGACAAAACCCGGTGGCGGATGGTTTCGCGTCTCTCATTGTACGTCCTCGTTGTTGAAATAACCTCGAAGCCGAAAGAAAGTCTTGGTTCGATTGCAGGCCGGGTTTTAGCGGTTGTGCAAGCCTCTCTTTTTTTTTCCGGCTCTAGTCCAGGTGGGTACATTAAACAAAGCCTTCCGCCTTTCGAGGGAATTGATTCCTCAGGGCAAGGTTGTTCACTGGCCAATCGTCTTACAAGGTGTGTTGTGTTGCCTCTCTCACATTCAGACTCAAAATTCCTTGGTAAACCAGGTTTTTTTCACGGGGGATGAAGACCCGGTGGCGGACGATTACGCGCCCGCTTTATGTAAGCATCGGTTATTGGAATCTTCAATCGGGAGGTCCTGGTTCGACTCCAGGCCGGGTCTTAATCTGGTATTCGGAGGCCATCCATTTCTTTCTTTCTTTCTTTTTTTTTTTTTTTTTTTGCACATGTCCTTTTGCACTCCGAGCGAAAGATCCTCGCTAAAGTAAGGTTGGTTAGGGGGAACAAGATCTGGTGGCCAGTGGTTCCGCGTCCGTTTATTCGTAGATTGCAGACGGGTGCAAGCGGCAGGACCTGGTTCAACTCCAGGTCAAATCGTATCTCCTCCATTTTCTCGGATTGTTTTCAGGTGCTGTTTTTCTCCCCTCGACAAATATGTCAAGGTCAAGTTCAAGGTAAGCTTCTATTGAATTGAAGCCATTCTAGATCTAAAGATTATGGTTCATTCCAGGTTTTTTAAAGCATGAATATGAATATGACCTGGTGGCGAATAGTTTCGCGCCCACTTCACATTTGTGTGCTTTGACGCCACGAATCATGTGTAAACGGGAAGTTCTGGTTCGACTCCAGGCCGGGTCGTGTCAATTTTCTCGATCGACTTTTTTCTCTCTCTTTCACCTCCTGCGTGTTCTTCTGGCCGTGAAGCCGGTTCTTTGGTGAGCTGATTGATTTTGAGAGAGGCGAGGCAAGTTGTTCACTGACCAATCATCTTGCGGGGTGTGTTCTTCTGCCGCATCTGTGCTCGCAACATCCTCTCTAAAGAAGGTTGCCATCTGCAGGGAAAGGATAAGACTCAGTGGCAAACGATTCGCACGGTGAATTGAGTAGGAAGCGGGACAAAGAGTCCTGGCTCGATTCCAGGCCGGGTCATGCTCGACGTCGGAAGACTTTTTGTTCCCGCGAAGCTTCCTCATTTTTCGTCGGTCGCGCTAGTTGATTTATCCTTACCAGCTCCAGGCACGTTGCGATCTACTGCGCGTGAGCCGATGTCCATGGTCTTGCAAGGTGTGCTCGTTTTTCAATTTGGTTGGATGAATAATGGGACCCAGACCAGTTGCAAAAAGTTTCAAGTGCGCAGCGCAGGATGGAAACGCAAAGAAGGGCGTGTTATTTGCGACAAATGCAAGACAGCGCCGGGACGTAGAAGATATAAAGTACAGAAGTACAACAACAACTGGAGCAACAACTTTCAATACCGCGAGAAGATGACCAAGAATTGTTACTCCGAATCGCCCTTTATATTTAGGCGGTGATAGGGATGCAGTTGATGGCGATGAGACCAGCTGAAAGGAAAACTGGTGAGGCGCAGGGAGACACGTGAGGATGGAACAGAACGTACCCCACTCGTCCTCCGGGGCATCACAGGTAACGGTGGTGGATCCACTGCAGAACAACGTCAGATCACCCAAAAGACGACTGAAAATTTTGCCCACCAGTTGTTGCCGAGAACGGTGATGGGCGAGCAGCTCAACCCAACATCGACGAGGAGGCCGGTGAGGTCAAGGCCGACGAGGGCAGCGACGGCGGAGGCAGCGGTGCTGCTGGCGGGGACGACGCTGGCGCAGCACTGCGGGGAGGTCGGGGGAGTGACCGGGGGCGGGGGAGTGCCGTTGGGCATGGCGGCAGCAAGGGTCTGGAATACGGTTTGTTAGTACTTAGTTTGAGAACATAACAGTGAGAGGGGCGTACAATGAGCACAGAGGCGACAACGACTGAGAGCTTGGAGAACATGTTTGTTTGTAAGAGAGCTTGAACTACAGAGGAATGTGTTCGAGTGAAGGATAAGAGGAAATCGCGGGGGTCTTTTATAGGTTTGGACAAGAGCCATTCCCGCGATTGCACGGGACGCCGACGTAGGTAAGGTGGAGTGAGTGGAGCTCTTGGGCAAGGAAACGTCGGTGAGACGGCCAGTGACAGTGAGGAATTGAATTGACTGTTGTTGAGCGTTCCCAGGATGTCAGAGAAGTTCGACAGCGAGGTGATCCGTGGAGCAGCTTTGCAGGGTTTGACCTCATGTTCGAAGTGAGGAGGAAAGACCATCTGAGTACACAAGACAAATATTGAATTAGAACACTTGAGAAGAAGAAGTTTGAACGAGCACGATATCAGAATCCGACGGCCAGAATGCTGGAATCAGATTCGAGTTTGAAAATTTGACCCCCCATTGCTCCCGCTGTCGTAGAGCGCGGCAGAGAACATCCAGGAAGGGCAACTTATTCGCATTGAGCTCTCGACCGTCGACGTCATTGATAGTAGTCTAGTCATTCCAACGAAGATCAGTCGACGCCACGCGAGGTGCGGGGAAAGCGCAGACACTGAGACACGTCGGGTCCGCATACTCAGCATATTAGGTAAAGATACTGTACCTTTGACGTCACACGAGTGGAGCAGCAAGCACACCGGAAAATTGGAATTTTCACCTCGGCTGACAACGTTGCCGAAAGTGCTGGTTTCGGCTGCAAATAAAACCCAGCTGAAAATGTTTTTGAAACCGATGCTTTCGGCAGGGCTGAAGACGTTACCGAAAGTTCTAGTTTAGGCTGCAGTGTCATCGTTGCTGAATGTACTGATTTCAGTCACATTTTTTTCCCTTCTGAAAGTGCCACCTAAACTTTTAATTTCAGCAGCAATTTCACCTAGGCCGAAACTAGCGGGTTCGGCTCGGCCGAAACGGCAGCTGAAAACAACAGTTTCAGCTGCAGTTTCAGCCAAGCCGAAACCAATGGCTTCGGCAACGCCGAAACGACAGGTGAAGACAATAGTTTCGGCCACCGTTCCGGTGTCACCGAAGTTGTAGCTGAATGTTATTGTTTCGGTCAATGCCGAAACTGTAGCTGAAAGCGTTGGTTTCAGCCCAGCTGAAATTAATCTGCAGCTTATCGGCAGATGAGCTGCGGCTCAGCTGCAGATCATCTGTTATCACTGTCAACCACAGACAATCTGCAGTTGAGCTGCAGCCCAGAAGTTTTGTGAAATTTTGTGTCGATCTCGGCAGGTTCCTACCTCGTCCATATTCGGTCTCTTCTTCAAAGTCCATGTTACCATAACTGCATTACAGCATTCAAAAAGCAATAATAGGCTCATTTGCAGCGACGTTGACGCGTGGATCCCAAATGGGGAATGCGGCGGTGCCTTGCGGTATTTCCGCTTTTGTTCTCGAGTGGCGTTTGCCGAACAATTAGAACAACTATCGTGGCAATTTATGAGGATATTAGAAGCAGAGGGACCTACTCCAGAGGTCATGAATATGTTGGGGGACCGAACCCAATTGCAGCGCGCAACATTGTGGTTGTTTGGCAGAACTGCTGATGAATCGCACAGCCACCGCTATCATCGCGTTCCTCTTATCTGACCTCATACCCTCAGTGTTCGGCTGGGCTGCAGCTCAGCTGCAGATTGTCTGCGGTTGGTGATAACAGATGGTCTGCAGCTGAGCCGCAGCTCATCTGCCGATAAGCTGCAGATTAATATCAGCTGGGCTGAAACCAACGCTTTCAGCTACAGTTTCGGCATTGACCGAAACAATAACATTCAGCTACAACTTCGGTGACACCGGAACGGTGGCCGAAACTATTGTCTTCACCTGTCGTTTCGGCGTTGCCGAAGCCATTGGTTTCGGCTTGGCTGAAACTGCAGCTGAAACTGTTGTTTTCAGCTGCCGTTTCGGCCGAGCCGAACCCGCTAGTTTCGGCCTAGGTGAAATTGCTGCTGAAATTAAAAGTTTAGGTGGCACTTTCAGAAGGGAAAAAAATGTGACTGAAATCAGTACATTCAGCAACGATGACACTGCAGCCTAAACTAGAACTTTCGGTAACGTCTTCAGCCCTGCCGAAAGCATCGGTTTCAAAAACATTTTCAGCTGGGTTTTATTTGCAGCCGAAACCAGCACTTTCGGCAACGTTGTCAGCCGAGGTGAAAATTCCAATTTTCCGGTGTGAAGGAACAAGAATGGATTTCGTGAGCGGTGTCTGTTACAGCTGATTTCAGAAAAGAATACGGTTTCTGATCGAGCGCTCCACGTTAGTTTTTGCTTACCATTGTTTGACGCTGAGTCCTCTCTCTTTCCGCTTACGGTAAATAGCTGTGCTGTGCGCTCCACCTTGCTCCAGATGTCTGCACGAGGCGACCACGACGACCACGACAACCATCCATGGCCCGAGGCACGAAGAAGGACATCCCCGACCACACGAAGAGACTTGTAGTCCACCTATACAACAATCGCCATCGTAAACAAGCCGACATCGCTTGCGACCTTCAAATAAGCCAGAGCTCGGTCGAGAAAATCCTGCGGCAGGATGGGGGGGCTGTGCCGCAGGGGGCGCCTCCGGAGTATATGGAGGAGGGAGATCAGGATCAGTAGATGGCGGGGCCTCCGGCTCAAGGACGGTCCACCCGTCCTGTTGCCGAGTGTGCTCCCGGTAGTGAGATGAAGTTTGCTTGCTAGACATGGGGAATTTACTGAAGATGAGAGGGAGGAAAATATTCATTTTGCGTGTCTAAATATGTGAGCCTTGGGTGGAGTCACGCCACCGCGTACAGTGGCGGCGAAATCTGATGCCACCCCAAAAAAGGAAATTTCCATCAATCCCCCTCCGCCGATAGGTTTCTTTGCAGGGATCTCATGTATTATGGTTGAGAAATGTCAATACTGCCTCTATGCATGTTCTCGGCAAAAAAAACTCAACTAATCCAGCAATTGGCATGGTGATGTCACTCTTCCATCCAATCACCACAGTACAATGAGGGACGATGCCAGGCTAATTTTTTAGAGAGAAAAAAGCTTGAGATAGGCGTGTATGACTGACATTACACGGAATCCTCGCAAAGAAACATATTTTGCGGATCGAGAGAGCAGAAAGGTGTGGATTGATGGAAATTTCCTTTTTTGGGGGTGGCATCAGATTTCGCCGCCACTGTATCGCACTATGACGCAGGATGTGGAGCGGTAGAGAGACTCAGCGACAAACAATGGTAAGCAAAAACTAACGTGGAGCGCTCGATCAGAAACCGTATTCTTTTCTGAAATCAGCTGTATAGAATCTTAGCGCCATACGAACTTCGAAGGACGGTGTCATACCGCCAAAGTCCTGTTTCAGCGCGATCTTCGCGGTAAATACCTGCAAAACAAAAATGCAGCGGTTGAATTCACTGGATTCCACTGTGACCTGATTCTGACTGGATTGAGACTGGGATCTCGAATTTGAGACAGAGCCAGCCTACGTTGATGTCGCGCTCTCTGCTGTCGTAATCCTCCTGCGCGCGCTGTTTTTAAGCCAGCGATGAAAAAGAAAGACTAATGAACCGCAGAAAAAACTTACGTATCCCGAATTTGTGCACTCCATGTGGGCGTCCGGAAATATCGAGCCGTCGCAGGCCGAGTTTGAGTCAAATGAGGAATGGCGGGAGCGGAAGCAGGTCAACGACACGGGGCCCTCGATCTCTTCGCGCAGGAACTTGGTTATGTCTGTTACATGCATAGTAAGTTTACAAAGGGGGAGGAGGAATGATGGACGACGTGTCAACCCACCAACGCCAGGAAGCCCCCGGGGACGCAGCTGCACTTCATTTGCTCGTATGCG